CTAAAAAGTAGGCCTTAATAACGAGGCGACCTGGCATCTACGTTAAGTGAGTCAGCTACGATTTAATGCTTTTTGACCGTCCTCCAAGTCGGTTGGTGCGTAATCAATTAGCCGCAAAATCGAGGACTTCCCTGTATTTCCCATAGCAAGCAGTACAGAGAGGCTTTCGCAGACTCGTCTTATGGTCGATTCCGCAGGTGTGGCAGTGCTTTTCTTCGTAGTCTTGATTCTTGAAGCGGTTCCATATCTGATGGCAGGTTTGGCAATAGGGCTTGATTGGATCAGCTTTCAAGTCGGCTTTGCACCTAATGCAAAAGCCATTAGTTGGCTTGCCAACCTGTGGTGTGGCCCTTGCGCGGCTGGCTCTTTGTGTCGCTTGTCCCTTATCGCCCTCTGAAGTCGGAACTCTGGCTACTGTAACTCGAATCTCTTCGCTCGCTCTCAATATTCGGCGGCACTCCTGGTACATGTCTTCGTACAGTTCAGGCTCCTCCGTGCGAGCTACCAATATTCCCATTTCGTAATTATTAACTTGGGAATACTCGTACAAATTCATAGAGGTCAACAGGGCTTGCTCTTCATTCAGGTAGCACTTTGCATGGAGGTCTCTGCAGAACATTGTCCTGATAGAAGGCATAGATTCGAGCCATATGTTCTCGTCAGGTTGCAGTTCGTTCTTTCCGTAAATTACACGTGAATCTATTTTCAAACGGTTCGTGTCCTCAAGGAGTTGCTTAATCCGAGGGTTAACCTTGAGGAAGGGACTGATTAGCCAAAGTCTGTCTTGGGCACTCTTAATTATTTCTTCAAGTTGGAACGAAATGCCGGGGGTGTTAAGGAACTTTGCCATACCTAATCACCTCCTTGTCACTTAGCAGGATACGCTGTTTAAGTAGTGGCCCATCCCTCTGCAGAGGCCCATTTACATGGATGCCGTACTCGGATGGCCATAATGGTTATCAAATATCTGATGGGATCCCATAAGGCTGGCATCCAGTATATCAAAATGTCACTTCGTCTCAAATTCTATTAATTAAGGCAATCGCACTTTGTATCTTCCTCATTCTGACCGAAACCCTATGGTATGACCTTGCACATTGTTGGGATATCTTGGGTCTCAAGCCAAGGTCTCACAGGAGGTTTCCAGGCCCTTCGGGAATCACAGGGCGACTTACTTCTTTTTGTGAACAACTTGCTAAACGAAAAAGAAACATAGCGCGATTGCCCGGAGTAACCCACAGGGCAGCAGAAGATGCCCACCGCAACGTGCTAAACTAAACACCCCTGCTAATTCTGACCTGGTGACAGTATGTTTCGGCTGAAAGCAATACTCCCCTTCCTCATCTTGGCCGCTATTCTCCTCTTCCTGGGCCCCTTTGCCTCACCCGCCTACGCCCATGGCTTCGGGGAGAGGTATGACCTGCCCCTGCCTTTGACCTACTTTGCCATTGCCGGGGCGGCCGCGGTTGTCCTTTCCTTCGTAGTAGTGGGCGTATTCTTGCGGGGTGAACACAGTGGGGTGGAGTACCCCAGGCTGAACCTGTTCCGTCTCGACCCTGTCGCGGCTATCCTGACTGGGCCGGTAAGCTGGGCGTTGAAGCTGGCCTCGTTGTTGCTCTTCTTCCTGGTTATTGCCACCGGACTGTTCGGGTCGGAGCGTCCGGTTAACAACCTGACCCCCACCTTTGTCTGGATCATCTGGTGGGTGGGCATGGGCTTCGTGGTGTCCCTGCTGGGCAATTTGTGGGCGGTGATCAATCCCTGGAAGATTATCTTCGGGCTGGCCGAGGCTGTGTACCACCGCTTCAACCCGGACTGGGAACTCGGCCTGAACCTGGACTACGCAGACAAGGTAGGCGTCTGGCCATCGGTGGCTATCTTCTTTGCGTTTGTCTGGGTGGAAAACGCCTTGCCCGACAGCGCCTCCCCGGCACTGCTGGCCTGGCTGATAATCGCCTACAGCGCCCTGACCCTGGGCGGTATGTACCTGTTCGGCAAGCACCGGTGGCTGAGGCATTGCGAAGCCTTTACCGTAATTTACGGGTTCTTGAGTCGCTTCTCAGTAACCGAAGTACGAGTCAGGGAACCTGAAGCCTGCCGGGAGTGCGAGGGACCAAGCTGCGGCGTCGAAGCTGCGGATAAGGGACTCGGCTGCGTGGACTGCTACGAGTGTTTCGAGTACGCCGGGGTCCGCGAACTCAACCTGCGACCGCCGGCCATCGGCCTGCACTCGCAGGGGCCCTTGCCCGTCGGCCTGACGGCGCTGGTACTACTGGTGCTGGCCACCGTTACCTTCGACGGCTTCAGCGACACGCCCGAGTGGGCATCAGTCCTGGGTTGGGCGCTGATCCAGACGCCGGACCTGACTTCTCCCTACTTCAACGGCCTGGTGATTGCCAACACCCTGGGCCTGGCCCTCTTCCCCCTGGCCTTCGCCGCCGTTTACTGGGGTTTTTCGGCCCTGATGCAGTGGGTGGTTGAAAAGGCCGGCGGCACCGGGCCCATGGCAACTGAGTTGATGATGGCCTTCGTCTTTTCGCTGGTGCCGATAGCTTTGGCCTATCACTTCGCCCACTACCTGGGCTTCCTGCTGATTCAGGGACAGCTCATTATTCCCCTGGCTTCCGACCCTTTCGGCACCGGACTGGACCTGTTCGGCACCGCCAACTACACGGTGAACATTGCCATCACCAACGCTCGCTTCATCTGGTTCTTCGCCGTCATTGCCATCGTGGTGGGACACATAATCGCGGTGTACCTGGCCCACCTGCGGGCCGGGGTGATATACGGAAGCGGGCAGCTGGCCCTGAAGAGCCAACTGCCCATGCTGGTCCTGATGGTGATCTATACCGTGGTGAGCTTGTGGATTATATCCCGCCCCATTACAAAATAGGGGCCCTCACCCCGGTCCCTCTTCCTGAGGTTTAGGGAGGCAGAAGTCTTTTCGTCTCCTGCGTACACTATCGCCCCGGCTAGCTTTCCAGCTTTACCGAGTTGCGGAGGATGCCGACGCCGTCGATGTCGATTTCGCAGATGGCGCCGTCGTCCATGTTGCTGGTGGTGCCCGGCGTGCCGGTGTAGATGCAGTCGCCGGCTTCCAGGGTGACGTAGCGGGAGATGAACTCAATCATCGTCGGCACGTCGAAAATCAGGTGCGCGGTCGACTCGTTCTGTTCCTCGGTGCCGTTGACCCGGGTGCGCAGGTGCTGGGCGTGGGGGTCGAGGTCAGTCTCAATCCAGGGGCCCATGGGGGAGAAGGTGTCAGCCGACTTGGCCCGCCACCAGTCGGAGTTATTTTCATTGCGGTCGCGGCGCTGCCAGTCGCGGGCGCTGACGTCGTTGCCGCAGGTATAGCCAAGAACGTGGTTCAGGGCGTCTTCCTTGGAAACGTTCTTGCAGGTGTCCTTGATGATGGCTACCAGTTCTCCCTCGGCATCCAGGCGCTCCACTTCCTTGGGACGCACTATGGTGTCCTCGGGACCAATGACGCTGGTTGGGGTCTTGTGGAAGACCATGGGATAGGGAGGGGCCGGCCGGTCGCCGATGTGGCTGGTGTAGTTGAGCCCCATGGCCAATATCTTGCCGGGGGCAACCGGGGCCAGCAGCTTGACGTCGGACAACTTGTGAACGTGGTCGGTTACGGTGTAATCGCCAAAAATATCGCCGTCAATGGCGGCCACATTGTCGCCGTCGATTACGCCGTAGTGAACATCTCCGTGGGCTTCATACCGGGCTATTCTCATTTGTTGCTCCTATTTATATGCAGGATTTTTGCGCCCGATAATGTTATCACCCACACCCGGGGTTGGCTACCGGGCGAACTTGTTGTCTATTCCACAAAGCAGTGCTACCCCTTTTCCTAGGTGATCTCAGGTCATCTATTCGGGGAAGAACGTTATCGACAGGCTGGTACGGATTTGTTCAGCGTCGGCATTTGCGCTGGCCGCAATCGAACCGACGCTGACCTCCATTGCCTCAAATTCATCTTCGGTCATGTCGAAATCATCCGGGTCCAATTGAGATACGATATGTTGTAGACTCATCCAAAAAAGGAACTGTTTATCCCCTGGCAAGGTCGCCACCGCACGCTGGTATTCGCCGAGAGAAGCCAGGTCTGTCTGATCGCTGGTTTGCGCCCCCACGGCGTTTTCCAGGGCTTCCTCCGTGGTGCCCAATATCAGGAATCCATCATGGAGAACGTACCCTGGAGCATATTCGGTTTCAATACCCGGAAAGCCTGGCTCGATGATTCGCGCATCATTTTCGGCTCCTACATCCTCAGAGTCGATATCTACATTAATCTCGTCCTCTAGGAGGTCGGTAAGGTCCTCCAGGGTATCGGCGAAAGAGTCCTCCTCTTCCTGGATGTAAGAAACCATAGCCACCACATTTACAGTTTCATCCGCTGGTCTTTCCTGAATGCGTGCCAGATCCAACTCTTCCACTCCCAGAATCAGCTTCCCGCCCAAGTAGTCCATGAGGTCGCGTTCCAAATCAACTCCGGAATAAGACTCCGCCAAGACCAGGGAAAGGTCCAGAACATCCGCCATGTTCGGGCTCTCCCTTTTCCGAGGAGGCCGATCACTTTGCCGTTCTACTTCCAAATACATTTCGCCATAGAGTTCCTCTACGAAATACGAAAGGTCTTCGTCGTCGGAGCCGTACTCCTCAAGCTGATCTCGCCAATTGTCCAAGTCTGGATCAAAAGTAGCGGCAAGTAACCCAATGGTTTCCTCCGAAACCATTTCCGCAGGGTTGTCCAAGGACTGAAGGCCTGTGGCGTAGCCCTCTGTATTTGGCATCAAGGCTTCCACTACGATGCCCCGGTCAATCCACTGCATTGAAATTGCTGCCCAGTCCGGAATGTCAGTAGAGTCGGCCAGAGAGGTTAGGTCGTAAATATCATCGGAGTAAAAGTTGGAATCCTCCAGAAAATCCAACAATTCCTCGACATTTAAGAATGCCGAGGCAAACCTTCGTTCGGATATCATCGACCGGGCCGACTGAAAATCCTCCTCTTCAGCTAGAGAACGATTTTCCTCGCCCTTGACTAGTGTCCTGTATCCAAAGTACGTTGGCAAAAGCGGGCAACGTTGGCCAGTATTTGGTCGGCGGTCTGGGTCCAGACAAAAGGTTGGGGATCTTCGTTGGTGACGTCCAGATAGCGGTAGATGGCAGCCTCCAGTTCGGCGCTGCTCTGATGCACCCCACGGCGCAACTGCTTTTCGGTGAGCAGACCGAACCAGCGCTCCACCAGGTTCAGCCAGGAGGCGCTGGTGGGTGTGAAGTGCATATGGAAACGGGGCCGCTTGGCCAGCCAGTTGCGGATCAGCGCCGTCTTGTGGGTGGCGTAGTTGTCCGCGATCAGGTGGACGTCGAGGTCGGCGGGCACCTCGGCCTCGATGGTATCGAGGAATTTGCGGAACTCCACGGCCCGGTGCCGTTGGTGGCAACGACCAATCACCTTGCCGGTCCTGGTGTCCAAGGCGGCGAACAGCGAAGTGGTGCCGTGACGCAGGTAATCATGGGTGCGCCGTTCCACCTGTCCCGGGCGCATGGGCAATAGCGGACGGGTGCGATCCAACGCCTGGATCTGGGACTTCTCGTCCACGCACAGGACCAACGCCCGATCCGGTGGGTTGAGGTATAGCCCCACAACGTCCCTGACCTTCTCGATGAAGAAGGGGTCTGCCGACAACTTGAAAGTCTCCGTGCGGTGGGGCTGCAATCCGAAGGCTCGCCAGATGCGGCTGACCGTGTTGTGGCTCAGCCCGCTGCGCTGGGCCATGGACCGGGTGCTCCAGTGGGTCGCGTCCTTGGGGGTGGTCTCCAGCGTCAGCGTAATCACACGCTCCACGTGGTCATCGGTAACCGCTCGAGGCCGTCCGCTGCGCGGTTCGTCCGACAGTCCGTCCAGCCTCCGTTCCAGGAACCGGGAACGCCACTTCCCCACCGTCTCATCGGACACTCCCAGGTCGGCGCCCACCGTGGTATTGCTGCGGCCTTCGGCACAGCCCAAAATCATTCTGGCCCGCAGCGCCAAAGCTTGCGCCGTTTTCGGACGGCGAACCCACCGTACCAGGGTTTCACGCTCCACCTCATCCAAAATTACCGGCGGCATTGGTCGTCCGATTGCCATGGTCATCCTCCTCTGGATTGCTAACCCGGAGGATACCTCATCGTGAATACTATTACAACTGACTTCAGTTACACCACACTAGTTCCAGTAAATCCTCCATCGGTTGCTCTGGCTCGTCTGCATAAATTATCAGCAGCACGTCATCTGCCAAAGCAAACGCCAAGTCTCGGTCTTCGTCTGTCCAGATGCTAACTTCACTATCCTCATCGGCATCGAAATCGAAGTCCTGTTCGTCCTCCAAGTATTCTGTCCATTTCTCCATGAAATTCTCGGCGTTTTCGGAGTCACGAACTGCAATGGTCATCATGCCGACGGGATTATTTCTTTCTTCAAAAAAGCCTGCCGAAACATCGAGCCCTATCCATGTCTCCAATTCATCCTCAAAGTCAAACCCGGAATCGTCCTCAACATCATCCTGCAGATCTTCCAGTCGGTCTGACACTTCGGGCAATTCATTAAACCTCTCCCATAGGTCCATCATCTGTTCAAACTGACCATCTTCGGGGTAGAACGTGAACCACCCATAGGCAATGGTGTCACGGGGATAGTAGCGAGCCGAGTGTTCGGGCGGGTTCAAAAAGAGGCCAATAAAGGGGTTGGGGAGTATCCCGGTAAACATCAGGGCAATGACGGAAGCAATCAACACTATAAAGACGGCGACTGCCGCGCCGACTATCTTAAGATTCATCCTTCAGACTCCAGATTGGGAAGAGGAAGTAAAAAGTACCTTCATTCGATTGGAAGGCTCATAGGCCTGCCGTAGCTGGGCATGGAAAGGAGGCGGCGTCTAGCAACTGCCTAGCTCGGCCCCGCGTATTGCTGCTGGGTGAGGGTCTGGTATGTTACCGGCGTTACCTGGGTCAGGCCGGCATCTACCGGCAGGATTACGCCATTGACCCAGCGGGCCTCATCGCTGGCCAGGAACAGGGCAGCGTAACCGATATCCCAGGAATCGCCCTCGGTACGCAAGGGAGCAGCGTTCTTACGGATTTCCCGCAGGTCCGAGTCCATACGCGGGGCCACCATGGGCGAATAGACCAGGCCAGGAGCAATACAGTTGACCCGAATACCGTCGGGGCCGTGGTCGGCGGCCATGGACATAGTAAGGCCCTGGACCGCGGCCTTGGAGGTGGTGTAGGGAGTGCTGCTGTGGGCCCGCAGCCCGGCAATAGATGAGATGTTGATGATGGAGCCGCCGCCACTTTCGATCATCTTCGGGATGGCGTACTTGCTGCACAGGACGATGCTCTTGACGTTGACCGCCATTACAAAGTCCCAGTCCTCTTCGCTGATCTCAAGCACTGAGCCACGGCGGGAGATGCCCACATTGTTATCCAGAATGTCGAGGCGACCCCACAGGTCAATGGCGGCGTCCACCATGCGGCTGCAGTCATCGGCATTGATGACATTGGCCTCGAACACGTCGGCCTCGCCGCCTTCCTCCCGGATTATGGCAAGGGTCTCCTCGGCGCGGGCCAGCACGTTGTCCACCAACAACACCTTGGCGCCTTCCCTGGCAAACAGCACCGAGGCCGCCTTGCCGTTGCCCACGCCCGGTCCGCTGGAACCGGCTCCGGTAACAATGGCTACTTTTCCTTCAAGTCTGCGGGATGCTTCGGGCATGGGGAACTCTCCTTGGCGTCAAATCAAACGGATAGTCTAACGTGGATTACCAGGTCTTCGAGGCAGTGCTCCCGTAGTCATCAGGCTCAGTAGTCTCTGAATAAGTTATCGACATTGCAGCGAAAGCCGAGATCCTTGAGGGGAGCTTTGGGGGCATCAGCTATGCAATGAACACCGACTCCCCTCATCCGAACCCTCCCCAGTCGAGGGGGAAGGAACTTATTATGAGGTTTCTTAGGGATGCCTCTTAGCTGATTTCCACTACTTCAATTTCAAAGGTCAGGTCCTGTCCGGCGAGGGGATGGTTGGCGTCCATCTTAACCTTGTCGTCGGAAAGCTCAACGACCGTCATTTGGGCGGGGCGGCCGTCGGGAGAGGTAGCCTGCAGCTGCATACCCACTTCAAGGGGTATGGAGGGCGGAATTTCGGAACGGTCTACTTCGAAAACCCCGTCGGGGCGGTGAATGCCGTAAGCCTGGTCGGCGGCAATAATCACGGTACGGGTTTCTCCCTGCTCCATACCGACAACGCCCTGTTCGAATCCGGGGATCATCTGGCCCTGGCCGATGGTGAATTCCAGGGGGTCTGCCCCCACTGAAGAATCAAACACAGTGCCGTCATCCAGCTTGCCGGTATAGTGCACCTTGACCGTGTTGCCTTGCCTTGCTTCCGTCATATCGTGCCTCCTCGCATGATGCCCTACATTAACACCAACGTACGGGCTTAGTCCAATGGAGGCTGCGGGGTCTCTCGCACGCCCAGTGCGACGACAATGGTCGCCCCTACGGGTAGAAAGCAATTTTTGTTTTCCCACCATTTCCGCTCATTTTCCCCCATTTTGTAGGTGGGGCGGTGTAACCGGTGGGGGGTTTCTTCCGCGCCCAGGGCAACCACAGGAGTTGCCTTTACGGTCGGGGTACTGCGACAGGCTCAAGGCAAGCGAGGGTTGGGAAAGTGCCACAGAAACTATGCTAAGAGAGGGTTATGCGGCCTGTACAGGGGCGGATGTTATGGCCTTCACCACAGGCCTCCTCTATATGGGAGCGGAGGGAATGACCACGGGGCAGCCCAAAGTTGGCGAACCAAGCCCTCTTCTAATGGCCATGTGCAGGCTAAATTAGAACAGTGACAAAAGTCTTGCAAACTGACCAAAAACATGCGAAAAAACCCATTGACACCCTTAGAACGGGCGTTCTATACTTTGCTTGCAATTAGAACAAACGTTTCTGCAAGCAGGTGAGTGAGATGACAATGACGCGAGTTTTTGATGGTAAGGCGGAAACCTACGACGCACTCCCCGAGTTCTACCGGTACGAGGACACAGGCTGCGAGGCCTCCGACGCCTGCCTGAACTGTCCCCTGCCCCAATGCAAGTTTGATGACCCGGGCTGGTACCAGCGAAACCGCCGGCTGGCGAAGGACTTCCAGGTGATGTACGCCATGGAACGGGAGAGGCTTTCGGTGGAAGAAGCGGCAGAGCGTTTCTCAGTGACGGTACGGACCATTTTCCGAATCCTGCAGCGCTGCCGCACCGCCATTGCGGAGCCCGAGGGCCAAGAGATGAGCGCCCTGGCGGCGTAGTTTTTCTTAATTGTCCACGAATGTACACGAATGACATTGCAGATTGCTGGCGTGGACAGATTCCCGCTCAAGGTCAATCAATCTGTTGAACCTTCGCGGGATTCGCGGAAACAAATCGGGGCGGGTTTTAAACTCGCCCCTACATTTTTCCAAGCAATTTACCCAGTCGAGATTAGCCCCTGGGAAGGCCCAGGCCACGGCTGGCGATGATGTTCCGCTGCACCTCGGAGGTGCCTGCCGCTATCTTGTGGGAGAAGCTGGTCATCCAGTGCTCCTGGATGCGGCCCCGCAACGGCGCCCACGTATCGTTCCGGTCAAGGGCCCCGTAGAGACCCAGGATCTCCATGCCGGCAATGGTAACCCGCTGGAGAGTTTCGCTGCCGAACACCTTGCTCATGGAGGCTTCCTTGTTGGGCACCAGGCCCTCGCCCTGCATCCAGGCCACGTTGTAGGCCATCAGGCGGGCCACCTCGCACTCGATGTAGCGGTCGGCCAGAAGGTTGCGCACCCACGGTGTCTGCAGCATGGGCTGGCTGTTCCGTTTGGTTTCCGCTGAGTAGCGCTTAACTTCATCCAGCAGTCGACGGCCCATGGCGGAATAGTCGATACCTGACCGCTCAAAGTCCAGCAGCGTCACCGCAACGTACCAGCCCCGGTTTTCCTCGCCCACGACGTTGGCGACCGGAACACGGACGTTGTCAAAGATAATCTGGTTGAACTCGTGGCCGCCGGCCATGTTGATGACGGGCCTTACCTGGATGCCCGGGGTCTTCATGTCCACCAGGATGAAACTGATGCCCCGGTGCTTGGGGGCTTCGGGGTCGGTACGGGCCAGCAGCATAATCCAGTCGGCGTGGTGGGCCATGGTGGTCCAGATTTTGCTGCCGTTGATTACGTACTCGTCATCGTCGCGCACGGCGCGGGTGCTGAGGGAGGCGAGGTCGGATCCGGATTCCGGCTCGCTGTAGCCCTGACACCACTGAACCTCGCCGCGGGCCACGGGCTGCAGGTGGGCCTGCTTCTGCTCCTCGGAACCGTGGATCATCAGCGTCGGGCCAAGCATCCGAACGCCGAAAATATCGCGGCCGGGGGCGCGCATGTAGGCCAACTCTTCATTGTAGATAGCAGAACGAACGGGGGAGGCGTCCTGGCCACCGTACTCCTTGGGCCAGTGCATGGTCAGCCAGCCATTCTGGGCCATCTTGCGGCGCATGTCCCTGGTCAGTTCCCAGTTCCACTCTTCGGGCCAGCGGCCACCGCCTTCCCAGTCCGGGGGCAGTTCCTGTTGAACGAAATCGCGCAGTTCCTGGCGAAAGGAGTCGTCTTCGGGAGTAAATCTAAAATCCACAGTACCCTCCCCGATAATCAGAGGATCATGGCCGAAAAGTCCAGCGATGACATCGAGTCAAGTTGGCCGGAATCTGTCCGGCCCAGGCGGCTACAGGTCAACCACGGGATAAGAGGTAGCACGGACGATGCCGGGGATGGTATGCACATTTTCGGTTACCAGCAGGCCCACCCTGGTAAAGTCCTCTACATTGATAACCGCAATAATATCGAAGGGTCCGGTCACCACGTCCGCAGAATCTATGCCATCCACGCCGCGAAGGGCAGTGACCACCTCGCGGGTGGTGCCAATTGCGGTTTCAACCAATAGATATGCCTTGATCGCCATTTTGCTCCTCTTATATGCCTAAAATTGACCACTGATTGCTCGGGTAATTCTACGGCGGGCCTATGGGACTGTCAATTGAACCGTGGCCCTGGCTGTTGCCGATAGACCCCGCTGGTGCAAATCGGCCCTGATTAGTGGATAATTGAACAAACACCGAAGGAGCGACAGTCATGGTTTCCAAGCCCCGACTGGTAACTGCCGATGAACTGCTGGACATGCCCGATCACGGGTTCCGGTATGGATTGGTGCGAGGTGAGTTGCGGAAAATGGCGCCATCCGGGTTTGAACACGGTTCAGCGGCGGGGAATATATTTGCTTCCCTGCACCATCACGTCAGGGCCAATTACTTGGGACAAGTTTCGATAGCGGAAACGGGATTTTTGTTGGCCACAAACCCTGATCACGTACGCGCTCCGGACGCAGCCTTTGTCCGACAAGAAAGAGTAGAAGCGACTGGAATAGTGCGGGGATTCTGGCCTGGCCCGCCCGACCTGGCTGTTGAGGTTGTCTCGCTCCAAGACCTCTATGACGAGGTTGTGGAGAAGGTGGACAACTGGCTGACCGCCGGCACGCGCATGGTCGTGGTCGTCAACCCCTGCAACCGTACTGCAAGCGTACGTCTCCCTGGCAGGAACCCTGATATCCTGACCGAACGGGATACACTCGATGGCGGCGAAGTGATTCCCGGGTGGACTATGCCGGTAGCCGATATTTTTGCTTAATGCTTCCGCTACATTCAATAATCGTGGCTGTCTGTGGATAAACAACTGATAGAAAGGCTGCAACTTCTGGCCCAGGGCTCCCCTGAACTGGGAGTCTCTCTCAACGACACTCAACTGCTGCAATTCGAAGCCTACTACCTCGAACTGGCCGACTGGAACCAGCGGATGAACCTGACCAGCGTCATTGACCATGACGAGGTGCAGGTCAAGCACTTTTTGGATTCGCTAACCCTGCTGCGAGCTCTGGACGGCCGGATGCGGAGCGACGCCAGGCTGGTCGACGTGGGCGCCGGAGCAGGCTCCCCGGGTTGCCCCTGAAGCTGGCCTGCCCTGACATCCGACTGACCCTCTTGGAGTCCACCGGCAAGAAGGCCAACTTTCTGCGGCACGTGGTTGAGACTTTGGGTTTGCCTGACGTTGAAGTGTTGACGGGCAGGGCCGAAGAACTCGCCCACCGTCAGGAATTGCGGGGCGACTTTGATGTCACCCTGGCCCGCGGCCTGGCACGGCTGCCGACCATGCTGGAATACACCCTGCCCTTCACCCGTCGCGGCGGTGTGGTAGCCGCGTGGAAACACGGGGGCGAGAGGTTGGAGGCAGAACTGGAGTCGGCGCAGCGGGCGTTGCAGATCCTGGGCGGCTCCGTCAGGACAATCTATCCGGTAACGGCAACGGGACTGACCGACAATCGGGTGGTGATGGTCATAGAGAAGGTAAAGGCCACGCCTGGGGACTACCCGCGTAGGACAGGGGTGCCCGGGAAGCAGCCGCTGTGATTGTATGTCGAATTAGGAATTACGAATTAAAAATGGGAGAACAGAAATGACGGTAATGGTCACGGGCGGCAATGGGCTTATTGGCTCCCGCATTATTCGCAAGCTGCAGGAGCGGGGCGAGGATGTAATGTCCTTTGACCTGGCGCCGCCGCGAAGCAATCTTCCCCTGCACCGGCACCTGTCCGATGTGCCCTTCTACCGGGGGGATATTACCCAGATTCCCCATCTGCTGGAGGCGATTAACACCCACGGCGTAACCCGCATAGTCCACATGGCGGCGTTGCTGCCCCCGGATACGGAGGACCGGCCCCACTTTGGGATGCAGGTAAACATCCAGGGGACCAACAACGTTTTTGAGGTCGCCCGCTGGACCGAAGTGGAGCGGGTGGTGTACGCCAGTTCCATCGCGGTTTACGGGGTGCAGGAGACCTTCGGGGAACGGCCCCTGGTTGAGGACGACCTGACCGCGCCGATCAATGTCTACGGCATGACCAAGGCGGCCAACGACTTTTCGGCTGGCAAGTACCGGGAGCGGTACGGTCTGGACCTGCGAGGCATCCGCATCGGGACGGTGTTCGGGCACGGCCGCACCACGGGCATGACGGGCATGATTGGCGGGTTGATGGTGTCGCTGCCAGCTTTGGGCCAACCGGTGGCCATGCCGTTCAACCCCGACGAGGCGTCTCCCATGATTCACGCCGAGGACGCCGCCGAGGTTTTCGTGCAAGTGGCCCTGTCCGGCGACCTGAATCACCACGTTTACCTGACCGGCGGTCACCTGGCAACCATCGGAGACATGGCCGATATGGTGCGCCGGTTCATTCCCGACGCGCAGATCACTACAGGGGAGCAGGCCGTCCCCCACGTATACCTGGTGGACAACAGCCGGATGCTGGCCGACGTGGGCTACGAGATGGCGCCCCTGGACGTGCGGGTGCTGGAACACATTAATGATGCGCGGGAAGAAGCGGGGCTAGAGGCGATTTAACATCGATGGGCAGGATATACAGAATTACCATCTATCGTCTGTCGGGGGTATCCATTTGCAAGCAAAGCACCTAAGCAATCAAGCGGAATGAATCGCCACAGGTCATTACTGCAAGCTATAATCAGAGGAAGGTCCGATGCCAATATCCGGTTTGATGACCTTCGGACCTTACTGCGGCGGTTGGACTTTGAAGAAAGAACAAAGGCCAGCCATCACGTCTTCAGGAAAGAAGGTATTCCCGTCTTGCTGAACTTGCAGCGTCGTGGCAGTCAGGCAAAACCGTACCAAGTTAAGCAGGTTCGCGAACTGATTTTGGGGAATTATATACAGAAGTACCAATACACTGAAGCAGGTTTAACAGTGCTGTGAATGATGCTGAACAATCGTGGCAACTAAAGGACAAAATAAGAGACCTCTTGCCATATATGGAATTAACCAACCATCCTGAACTCAACGCTGTGCGTAATTTATTTGCACATAGCATCGTTCACACCAGGGCAGGAGGTATAGAAATTTACCCGCTGAGGCCAGAACGGTCAGACACTCAGAGTAATATCAAGAACCTACCGATAAAACCGACTCGTTGGCAATTACAATCAGAAGATTATTCAGGAGTGGGCTTGGGATATTCGCTGGATAGCTTAAAACAACTATATCAATGGGTTATTGACATGCTTCTTGAGTCCGAGGAGATCAGACAGCTAAAAGGTCCGAGGGATTTTACCTTGGTGTATTTTAGGCAGTTGAAATGGTACCCCGAAATACACATTTCTAATGGTGAGACATTTGAGGGGTATGTTCTCAACAACCCAACAAAGCAGAAGGGCATACAAAAACGTAAGTTGTCAGATAAGCTGCGTTACCGCCCACGCTATGTCTCCCGACGAAAGAGCTAGGTTCGTTTTGGTACTTCTGTATATAATTCCCTAATTTTGGACTATGATCCAGGGTGTGCAGATGATGAATAAGTGCCAAATTGTCATCAACTGGAGTACCGCAGATAATGCCTATATCGCCCAAGCGCCGGAGCTATCCGGCTGCTTCGCCCACGGCGACACCCAGCAGGAAGCCCTGGCGGAAATCGAGCAGGCTATTACCCTATGGCTAGAAACCGCCCAGGAGTTCGGCGATCCCATACCTGAGCCTGGAGGATACGCACCTGCGGGCGGGTAGTCCTCTACTGCTCCGGGGCCCCTGAACTTCTACTCCCCATGCCTGGCCTGCCCACCCAGTTGCCTTATCCTACCGTTGAAGGCGCCGGTTGCCAGGGCGAATACGACCACCGCGACGCCTCCGATGGCCACGGCCAAGGGGGCACCAATGAAGGCCACGCTGGCCAGCGCCCCGGCCTGGAGGCCGCCCAGGGGCATGATGCTCCAGGTCATGCTGTAGAAGCCCATTACCCTTCCCCTTACATTATCGGGCACCAGCATTTGCAGTGAACTCTGGACCGAGATCATGTAGATAGAGTTGCTGCAGCCGATCACCACCATGAAGAAGAGGGCCAGGGGATAGGACTTCAGGAAGTGGGCGGTAACGCCAAAAGCCACCACCGACAGTCCAAACACGACGGCCCCGCCCACGATGGCCAGTCCCCTCCGCTGGAAGCCTCCCTTTGCGCCCAACCAGATGGTGGTCAGAAGGGCCCCGACGCCACCCACGCCCAGCAGAATGCCCTGTCCCCGCGCGCCCACCTCCAGCACGTCCACGGCGAAGACCGGCATCAGCAGTATGTAGGCCATACCGAAGAAGCTGTTGAAGAAGGTCATGCCAATCAGGAAGGCGAACACTCCATTCCTGCCGATAAAGGTCATGCCCTCCCACAGGGCCCGGGCCGGATTGGCAGGGGCGCCCTGGGGTATGTGCGGAATACGCAGGAACAGCATAACGCCGGCCATGATGAAGAACCCGACGCCGGATACAAACAGGGCAGTTCCGGTGTTAATGAGGTCAATCAGGAAGCCGGCAATGGCCGGAGCCACGATGCGGGTGCCCTGCCAGATTGTGGAATTGAGAGCCACCGCGCTGGCCATTGCGGAACGGTCGATCAGGTGGGGATAGAGGGCCTGGCGGGCTGGGTTGTCGAAAGCCTCCACCGCCCCGACCAGAAAGGCAATAACGAGGATGTGCCAGACCTCGATAACTCCGAAGAGGGTGAGCAGGGCCATGGCCACGATGAGCAGCCCCGTGGTGCCCTGGGTGCCGAACACCAGGAGGCGCTTGTTCAGGCGGTCGGCATAAACGCCGCCAACCAGGTTGAATACGATGCCCGGGATGGCATTGGCGGCGAGGGCGTAGCCCAGGTAGAGGGCCGAGCCGGTCAGTTCATAGACCAGCCAACTCTGGGCAACGCGGAACATCTGGAAGCCGCTGACTGCGCAGAGCAGGCCGATCCAATAGTAGCGGTAGGCAGGATAGCGAAAGGCAGGAGGCACCCGCCCGCCCGTGCGTTGGGGCCTCTGATTAACGGCTGGCGATTGCTGCAAACGTTCCCTTTTGAATTATTGTCCACGAAGTAGCACGAAGGCCTTTTGTATTCCCTTCGTGAACCTTTATGCCTCTTCGTGGATTAAGTTCCGGAGGCTATTTGTGGAAACGGGGCAGGATTTCCTGTCCCATGATGTCGAGTTGTTCCACCGACTCCTCGCCGGCACACAGGGGGCGTACCACGAACTTGGAGGCACCGGCGTCCACGTAGCGCTGGATGACCTCGCATACCTCGTCCGCGTCGCCCAGGGCGCTGTACTCGGTGAAGTCGACCTCGGGCCGGTGGCGGGTTACGTACTGGTGGGTCTGGGCAATGGCCTTGTCGCGGTCAGGGCAGATGTAGTAGCCCAGCAGCATGCCGATGTGGTCTTCCTCAATCTCCCGCTCGTATTTTTCCGCCGTCTCGAAGACGATGTTGCGCCCGTCGCTGATCTCCTGGGTGGTGGCGCCGGAAACCAGCCAGCCATCACCAACACGACCAACGCGGCGGGCGGCGGCGGGACTGCGGCCGCCGATCCACACCGGCGGCGAGGGCTTGAAGCAGGTCTTGGGGGTTATGCTGACGTTATGGCAGTTAAAGAACCGGCCCTCGTGGGTGACGTTGTCCTCTTCCCATAGGCGGCGCATGAGGCGGATGGCCTCGTCGGTGCGGGGGCTGCGGTCATCCTTGGGCACGCCGCAGGCCTCGTACTCATCGATTTCCTCGCCACCCAAACCCACGGCGGGGAAGCAACGGCCCTGGGAGAGGAAGTCGAGGGTGGCTATCTGCTTGGCCAGGACAACGGGATTGCGGAGAGGCAGAGCCAGGACGCTGGTGCCGAACTTCATACGGTCGGACCAGGCGGCCACCATGGAGAGGGCCACCATGGGTTCGAGGCTGAAGCGATCACTGACGATGCGGTCGCTAAGCCAGATAGAGTCATACCCGTACTTGTCGCCCAGTTCCACCAGGCGGCGGAGGAAGTTGGGATCGTCGCCTCCCTGTCCATAGGCGCCCGGCACGTATCCAATGGCAACGCTCATAGTCCCTCCCCGGCTTGGCCGATTTGGGTAATTCTAGCACATGGTAATCTCATCCACGAATGGGCACTAATGAGGAACGAAGGTGGCCTACCCTTTAGTGATTATTCGCGGGTATTAGTGGATGAAGCTCTTCCTCGTGGACGCATATTTTACGGGGACCGATAAAGGGCCAATCCCTTACACCTCCGGCTCCCCGGGATGCCGCGTATGCCACTCCGTCCGTGACTGGTATTCGCGGGCTATGGCGAGGCAGACGTTTTCGTCGTAAGCGCGGGACATGAACTGGATGCCGGTGGGCAGGCCGTCGGCGTCGAAGCCGCTGGGGACGGAAATGGAGGGCAGGCCGCACCCGTTGCCAATGCTGCCCATCAGGTCGCCGGCGCCAGCGGAGGTCATGGACCGGCTGCGGAACTCCTGGTCGATGGGCGTCGCAGTGTTCATGGCCGTGGGGGCAGCAATGGCATCATACCTGGACAGCAATTCGTCTACCTGCCTTGCCATCACCCCCCGAAGTCGCAGGGCTTTGATGTAGTCGGTAGCCAGAACGGCAGGCCGGGCGTAGGGGCTGCGGCCATGCCAGCCCGTGGCGGACAGTTCAAGGGGGCCGCCCTCGGCCAGGAAGTCCTCAAAGGCGCTGGCCGACTCTACCATCAGAATGGTGGAGGTAACTTCCACGTAGGGAAACTCGGGAAACTCCACCTCTTCTATATCGGCCACATCCTGCAAGACGGCCACGGCGGCCTCGAAATTTTCCTTCACCGCATCGGCCGCCTCGTCCAGGACACCGGCGGGAATCCCAATACGGTACCGGCGGCCCGTACTAAACGCCGGGTCATAGGCAAAGGGTTCGGGATGGGTGGAAAGGTCGTTGGGGTCGGGGCCGGAAAGAGCTTCCAGCACTATTCCGCAGTCGTCGGCAGTGAGGCACAGGGGCCCCAGCTTGTCGAGAGTCCAGCAGAGGGCCATCGCCCCGTAGCGGCTAACGCGGCCGTAAGTGGGCCTCAGTCCGGCCAGGCCGCAGTTGTTGGCGGGAATCAGAATTGAACCCCAGGTCTCGGAGCCGATGGCGAAGGGCACCAGACCCGCGGCTACCGCCGCTCCCGACCCGCTGGAGGAACCGCCGGTCCAGCGGCCCGTATCCCAGGGGTTCCTGGGTGGGCCGGTCAGCGAGGCGTCGGGATGGATGTAGCCCATGCCCCCGGCCAGTTCGATCATGGCCAGCTTGGCAGCCAGGGGAGCGCCGGCCATTTCTAGGCGGGTGATTACCGTGGCGTCGTGGTCAAATTGCTGGTCTTTGAAGGGGGTCGCGCCCCAGGTGGTGGGGATGCCGCCGGTAGTAGCCAGAAGGTCCTTGGCGCCCCAGGGAATGCCGTGCAGCAGGCCCCGACTGCGACCATTGGCTATTTCCGATTCGGACTGCCTGGCAACATCCAGCGCCCGCTCGGCAGTCAGCGTAACCAGCGAATTGTAGTACGGCCCCAGCCGTTCCAACCGCCCCAGGAAGGTCTGGGTTAGTTCAACTGGAGAGACCGCCTTGCCAGCGATAAGTCCGGCCAGTTCCCTGATGGGTTTGAAAGTTAGCGAGTCGGCCATGCAAAAACTCCTGGGGGCGCTTGGACCGCCATTGGCGGGATTCGTCATTCCTGCGGAGGCAGGGATCCGAGGGCAGAGGGACAGAGGTTCCTGCCTTCGCAGGAACGACGGTAACCGGGATTGGCTAATCCCCGCGGTAAGGCTTGAAGCTGGAAAAGGGCTCCACTTCGTTGGTCAGCCTGATGGCACGCAATGCGCGAAAGACCTCTCTTTGGCCGGTCACGGCTCCCCGAACCCCCTCCATCTGTTCGTCGGAAAGCAGGTGCCCGTACTTTTCCTTGATGATGGCGAATAGCAAATCCTGCTCCAGGCTGTTGTCGGGGTTGGTGGTCATGGGCGCGCCTCCCTGAGGGTTCTCTTTGGCCCATTCTACTACACGGTAAACACCGTTGAATCCTAACTTCCCAACCTCTTATCTTCGTGCGCCTTCGTGTCCCTTCGTGGATAAACAAACGAATGTAAAACGCCACACCAAATCTGCTAAAATGCCCCCACCTAACCCACCTTGTCCCAATACAGCAAGGAGGCTGCCATGACTACAATTTACGATGCCGAGCGCCGCGATATTTCCATTGCCCTGGGCGGCGACGCGATGATTACCCGCCGGATGCAGTCATTCCAGGAGGAGCGGTTTCTGAAGCTGGTGGAGATTCTGCGGGGCGCCGATGTTTCCCTGGTCAACCTGGAGATGCTGTTCCACGATTACGAGAGCAGCTGGCAGTGGAGCAGCGCCACCTACACCCGCTCGGACCCCAAGAACCTGGACGAACTGAAGTGGATGGGCATCAACGCGGTGACCACCGCCAACAACCACTCCTTCGACTTTTCCGAGGGCGGCTTCCTGACCACCCTGGAGCACTGCCGCGAAATTGACCTGGCCTACGCCGGCGGCGGCCGCAACCTGGACGAGGCCCGCTCTCCCGCCTACGTGGATTCGGCGCGGGGTCGGGTGGCAGTAATGGGCGCCACCAGCACCTTCAGCGAGCAGTCCCGGGCGGGGGCCGGTCGGCCCGACTTTGCCGGACGTCCGGGGGTCAACGCCCTGCGCCACGACATCACCCACCATGTGCAGCAGGACGTGTTTGATGCCCTGCGCAAGGCCAACCTGGAACTGGGGTACGAGGAGGAGCACGCCTTCCACCGCCACTTCGGGTTCCGGGGCTCCGAGGACGCGCACGACGAGAGCAGCGAGATGGAATTCCTGGAACACAAGTTCATCCTGGACGAGGAGTTCGCCGTCCGCACCACCCTGAACGAGGATGACCGGCTGGGCATCGGGAACTGGATTCGGGGTACGCAAAAACAGTCGGACTGGCAGGTCTATGGCGTTCACTGCCACGAGAGCGGCCCCGACGGCGACTTCCACGGTCATTCCCGCATGTCGCCACCCCACTTCCTGGTGGACTTTGCCCGCTGGACCATCGACCAGGGCTGCGCCGCCTTCGTGGGCCACGGTTCCCCACTTCCTGCGGGGCATCGAAATTTACAAGAACCGGCCCATCTTCTACAGCCTGGGCAACTTTATCTTCCAGAATGAAAGCGTCCTGTGGCTGCCCCACGAGGCGTACCGCCGCTTTGGCCTGGACTTCAACAGCACCCCCGGCGACTACCTGGACACCCGCTCCGGCGGCGGCACCCGCGCCTTTGCCGCCGATCCGGTGTTCTGGCAGAGCGTGGTGGCGGTGTGCAACTACTCCGGCGGCGACCTGAAGGAGGTAATCCTCCACCCGATAGACATGGGCTTTGGCCGTCCTATTCCCCAGCGCGGCCGCCCAGTCCTGGCCGAAGGAGATATAGCCCGCCAGACCCTGACCTGGCTGCAGGAAGTTTCGAAGCCCTTCGGGACGGAGATTGCCATTGAGGAAGATCACGGGGATTTGGTGGGGGTTATTCGGGTTTAAGTATCAGTTGGCCTCCAAACAGAGTGCCCCGGGGACAGAGCTTCCGGGGCGTTTTGTTTTGGTGGCGGTCTTCAGATGGTGAGGGATTCCAGGCGAGTTAGCCATGAGTTGAAGCGGGGGCATTCGCGGCGGATGGTGGAGAGGCCGATTTCCCTGGCTATTTCAGGGCCGTCTATTCTTTTGTCGTAATCCGGCAGTGGCAGCAATATGCGTTTGCTGGGAGCGGTATCTGGGCCGTCATTGATGTCTTCTGGGGAAGGAAACTGGGCACGAATGCTTTCCAACTGCTCTAGAGCAGTTGGGTCTGAGCCGGGGACATTACTGAAGCCATTAACCTCTGAGAATAGTAAGCCCTCAAATTCGTGCCGTTGGACGTATGAAATTACTTTCCTTACATCCCAATTGCGCTGCATCCTCCTTGAGACTTCCTGGGTAATGTCTTGTTCCAGTTGCTCCACCGTTCTGGCTCCCTTGTTCTCAAAGCCATAATAATCAACGAGGGAAGTCACTATGTCGAAGTTCCAGAAGAGTTCCGCCATTCGCCCAGCTAATCGTTCTACCGAAATCCTGCCCCGAAGAGAGGTTGGTGTTGTATATATTCCATTCCTCAAGAGATGGACCGCCAAAACACGGTCCACAAATTCCACTTCAGTTTCCCCTTCCACCACTATGGCGAGACGGACCACGGGCGCCCGCCTATAAGGTTAGTGAGCCATATCTCGCCTGTTGAGTATTTTTCCAGCCAATGCTTTAGTTCTTCCTCGTCTGGCCGATGAACCCTGGTTTCCCCGTTCTTCATGTCGAAGACATAAATCTCTCCCAAATTGAACTCATCCACCAGCAACGGCGATTGGGTGGCCACGATAACCTGCCGGTGACGAGACATGACCCGGATCATTGCCCCGATCAGACCCACTGCCGAAGGGTGCAGGCCCAGTTCCGGTTCGTCCAACAGGATTATGCTGGGCAGCATTTCCGGGGGGAGATTGAGTAACGTTACCAGGCAAAAATACCGGAGCGAACCATCGGACGTCAGGTGGGCGCCCATGGTTTTGTCGGAACCCCGGGCCTTCCAGCGTAGCATGACCTTGCCGTAGCTTTCTTCCAGGTCAAACCGGTCAAAGGTGGGCAGTATGCGATTGATAAGGTTGCAGATGTAGTCGTAACGCCTGGTATTTTCCCGTTCCAACTGGAAAAGGATGGCGGCCAGGTTGCCGCCGTCGGCCCTCAGGCGAACATTATCTGTTATGTCGCAGCTAGTCTTGATGTTGGCATTGAAATCGGTGTTGTGAAAGTGGTGGAAGGCAAATCCACCCAGCAAATTCCTAACGTCAATTACAGAGTCATGAATGTAAACTTGCGCTTCACTATCCTTTTCCTCTTTTGGAGTGATTGGAAGCAATCCGCTCTCCAAGCCCCAGTTGCTAATGTCCCTTGCCATACTATTGGTATATTCGACTCGGTGATACGTGAACTTTTCATTGTTAAACAAAGAGATGTTCTGGATGTGCGAAGGTAAGTGTACACTCGTAGCAGTAGCTTCCCTGCGCAGTCTTCAGCTGAATTTCTGCCCGCAACGCAGAAGTCATTGCACTGCCCATAAACAGCTGATCATTGGCTCCTCCTCGTCTGGCGACGAACTCGGTGAGCCTCCGATACCGCAGCATCTGCTGCAGCATTTCCAGGAACAGTAGAAGGTTTGATTTGCCTACACCGTTAGGCCCGATCAGCACTGCAGCGTCGGGTAAGTCATTAAGCTCAACTTCAGCCAGGGAGCGGAAGCCCTTGATCTTGATAGATTCTATCTTGCTTTCCAGAGCCATAACCCTACCCCCCGTTCCCCACCAACCCCGCCAAATTCCTGGCAAACTCTTCTACGGTGGCGGCGGCTTTGCGGCGGATTATTGGTTGGCCCAGGGTGCCCAGGGCGCCCATGAAGGCGGTGTCGGTGGCGATGGTAAGTTCGGTTTGACCGTCGGTGGTGGGGGTTAACTGGAGGGTCATGGTGGTTTTGACCGACCCGCCGATGCGGCGGTCAGCGGCCTCTAACAGGAACTGGGCCTCGCCCTGGTCGGCATCCTGAGAGACTACCTTGAGAGTGCCGGAAAGGTTTACCCGCATGGGGCCGGCCTGGGCTTGAAGCGTTCCCACGTACCGGTCGTCACCGTCGGCTTTTAGGGCAGCCAGACCCGGTACGCAGGGAGCCACCCGGGGCAGGTCCATGACCAGATTCCAAGTTGTATCCCGGTCGGCGGGCACCACGCAACGGTTCTCCAGCTTCATTGCATCATCCCATCCCGGCGTTGGTCATGGCCTGGGCGATGGCGCGGCGGGTGAATACTCCGGCCATTTCCCGCTTGTACTCCGCCGAACCCCGGTGGTCGTCCAACGGGTCCACGGCATCGGGCACCGTAGCCGCAGCAGCCCTGATGTTCTCGTCAGTCAGGGGTTGACCGCGCAGGGCGTCTTCCGCGGCAGTGGCGCGGATGGGTGTGAGACCCACCGAACCCAGCACGATGCGGATGTCCTGGCAGTTGCCGGCAGCGTCGGGTGTCACCACGGCGGCCACGGAAACGGTGGCGTAGTCATCTGCGGTGCGGGGCAGGAACTTCAGGTAAGCGGTACCGGCGCCGTCCGGAGCGGGCGGGACCACCAAGCCGGTGACGATTTCGCCGGGGCGTACGTCGGTGTCGAAGTAGTCGAGGAAAATTTCTTCAGCCCGCAGGATGCGCTGTCCACCACTGGCCGAAGACAGAATTACCGACGCGCCCAGGGCAATGAGGGACGGCGGCGGGTCCTGGTTGGGGTCGCCATGGGCCAGTCCGCCGCCCACCGTCGCCATGTTGCGGATGCGGGGCGTGGCCACGTAGCGATATGCCTGGGCGACGAGGGGAAGCCGCTCGGCGACCAGGGGGTGGTTTTCCACCTGGCGCTGCGTACAAAGGGCGCCGATACGGATGCTGCCATCGTCCGTTTCCTCGATGCTGCCCAGACCGGCGATGCGACGCAGGCCAATGACGTGGCCGGGCTGGGAGAACCGCTGCTTCATCTGGAGCACCAAAGCGGTGCCGCCGGACATCAGGCGGGCGTCGTCACCGTGTTCGTCCAAAAGCGCAAAGGCCTGATTGAGGTCGCTTGCATGGTGAAATTCAAAGTCGATCATTAGCTTGTCTGCTCCCCTCCCTGCGAGGTTGAAGAGCCGATGGCGCTGACCACGGATTCGAGGATCTTGTAGTATCCGGTGCAACGGCACAAGTTGCCCATCATCCAGTCCCTGACCTCTTCCTCGGAGGGTCGAGGATTATCGTCCAGGAGGGCCTTGGCGGCCATGACCTGGCCGGGGGTGCAGATTCCGCACTGGAAGCCGCCGTAGTCAATGAAAGCCTGCTGCACGGGGTGGAGGCGACCGTCCTGGGCCAGACCCTCAATAGTGGTGATGTCGGAACCGTCCACGGCAGCGGCGAGGGTGATGCAGGAAGCCACCATCTCCCCGTCCACCAGGACGGTGCAGGCGCCGCAGACTCCCACGCTGCAACCCTCCTTGGTGCCGGTAAGCCCCAGGTCGTAGCGCAGCAGGTCCACCAGCAAGCGGCGGGCCGGAGCGTCCACCTCGCGGTCGACGCCGTTCACTTTCAAGCTAATGCGTTGGGCCATATTCGTTATTTCCCCTGTTATTTCACTGTTATCCAGTCACCCATTCAATTGGGGAATGGGAGGCTGGCTTTGCCCAATACTATAACAAGCGGGAAAGTCGGGCAAGTTGAGGGAATGGAGTCAGGCAGTCGCCACTGGGAAACCAACACAACCAGTTAGTTGTCGGAACCAGTTATGACTACTGACACCGGCCCGTTGCTCTTTAGCCAACATATCGGTACAGTTCATTCCACGATGCTGAACTTCATTCCCCGTGACCAACATTTTGTTCCTGTTTTATTAATGAAGACGTGGGCCTTCTGGAGCGTCGCAGCCCCGGTAGCCATGACGAGTCTTTGCGTGCTCTTGCTGGTGGGGTTAGCTGCTCTGGTCGGGGCCCCGCCGGTGGAAGTAGCGGGCGACTTCCTGACCGACGTTGCTGAACCGTTGGCCCGCGTGTCGACCCAATTGTGGGTGACTGCTTTCTTCATGGCAGTGGTCTGCTATGGGGTCAGTGTCCGATTGATTCGTCAGACCCTTGGGGGGCCTCTTTCAACGCCGCTGGCGGACCTTGCCTCCCGCCTACGGAAGCTAGTCTTTTTCAGGACGCGGGCTCAATATTCCATGGAGCCCACTGCCGCACAGCAAAGTTACATTTCCCTATTCCCAATGCCATATGCCGGAACCCAGGCCCCTCCGACGGCTCTTCTGGCCGGTACAACTCCCCTCCTGGAATAGAACCCAATTCTCCGATTGTCACCCTTTTGCCCGGCGTCAGAGACGCGCGGGCGGCTTCGGCGCTTCTGTCGCCGGGCCTACTTCTCATTGACTATGGAGAATTCGACTATGAAAGCACAAATAATAGCCATTCTGATATTGTTGGTTGGGCTGACGGCCTGTGGTGTCCCCCAACCAACCCAGACCCCCGACATTCCCGCCACGGTCACGGCCCAGGTCCAGGCACACCTGGATTCTGTGCCGACGGCCACGCCATTACCCACTTACACTCCTTATCCCACCGGCACGCCGCGGCCAACGTACACGCCTTACCCGACGCTTATGCCTCTGCCCACGGCTACCCCTTACTCGACTTCAACACCATACCCAACCTATACTCCGCATCCCACGACCACACCACAGCCAGCGTATACACCATATCCAACTCCAGGCCCGGGGAGAGCGGCAACTGCGACCCCAAAGGTGGTCGAATTCACTGACAAAGATCTAACCTATACCATCGCAATTCCAGAGGGTTGGGAGAGCGAGGTTCTGAACATTGAATGGGCTGAAAAGGGGACATCCGTCGGGCTTACCGACGCCAATGGCGTAGCGGGCATAAGTGTTGTAACCGCTTACTCCGAGATGGGATGGCTGGATGATTCGGATTCTTACGCCGATGGTGTGTTTGAGATATTGCAAGAGACGCTCATTGAAGGGACGTTTGAGATTTGGCAAAGGAGACCATCACCAAACGGCGGCGTCTATATTAGCTCGAGTTATCAGGAACAAGGCGCTTGCGCAATTGACTCGGAAATCGAAGCACTTGTGTTACGAAAATGGGCCTTTCTGGTGGAAGTCTTTGCCTGCCAGCGCCAATTCAGCCAGTATGAAGACCTGCTCTTGGATACGATGAACAGTTTTACCCCTACGGCCTATGGCAGGCGTTAAGAACCGTCCGTGAGAATACACAAGCAAATTAACCAGGGAAACTGCACCTCTATTACAGATTAACCGATTCACCGTGCTAAAATTATCCCGCCATGAACAGTAACGACTCCAACCTTGACGCCGTCACCGGGGCCTTTGGCTATACTGGCCGGTATATTGCCCACCGGCTATTGGACTCGGGCCGGTCGGTACGGACTCTTACCGGCCAGCCCGAGGTTCAGGGCTCGACCGGCGATCCCTTCGGGGGGCGAGTTGAGGCTCTTCCCTTTGACTTCGACCGGCCAGATGCTCTGGCCGAAAGCCTGCGCAGCGTGGACACCCTGTACAACACCTATTGGGTGCGGTTCAACAGCGGAGCGATTACTCTCAGTCAGGCGGTAGAGAACTCCCGTTCCCTGGTGCAAGCGGCGGAGACGGCAGGAGTGCGGCGACTGGTGCACGTCAGCATAACCAACCCGTCGGCCGACTCGCCCCTGCCCTACTTCCACGGCAAGGCCCTGGTGGAACAGGCTATTCAGGAGTCGAGCCTGTCCTTCGCCATCCTGAGACCGGCTCTGGTATTTGGCGAGGGGGACATCCTGCTGAACAACATTGCCTGGGCCCTGCGACGCTTTCCCGTCTTTCCCGTGGCCGGCGACGGCAGGTACCGGACCCAGCCCGTCTACGTGGGCGATCTGGCGGATTTGGCAGTGGCCGCCGGACCGGGGCAGGACAACACAGTCACCGATGCGGTGGGGCCCGAGACCTATACCTTCGACGAGTTGGTGCGGTTGGTAGCGCAGCGGGTGGGCAGCCGCTCCAGGCTAGTGCATGCGCCCCCGGGAGTTGCCCTGTCCCTGTCAAGAATGGTTGGCTGGGTGGTAAGGGACGTGGTGCTTACCAGGGAAGAAATAGCCGGCCTAGCCGCCAACCTGTTGGTATCCGCAGAGCCGCCCCTGGCTGGCACGCTTTTCAGCGAATGGCTGGAGGAAAACGGTGGCGGTCTTGGCCAGGCTTACGCATCGGAACTGAACCGTCATTACCGCAGGCAAGGGAGAGGACTGCTGGGCAACTAGAAACTGTCTCAAGTGTCCCTTCCCCCTTGACGGGGAAGGCCAGGATGGGGGTGGCGAGTAGTGTGGTTTCGACCCTGGGCAAGACCGCTGATTTCACCGGCGGTACTGCGTGAGTTTCTTAGTCGGCAGAAGGAGTAAGGCAATTATCTATGTCGCTGGCGGGTAAAGTAGCAATCGTTACCGGCTCCAGCAGGGGTATTGGCAAGGCCATGGCCCTGGGGCTGGCCCGGGAAGGCGCAAACGTGGTGGTGGCCGCCCGCTCCGAGTCGGAACGCGACCTGGCGCCGGGCACCATCTACGCCACTGCGGCGGAGATTGAGAAGCTGGGAAGCAAGGCATTGCCGGTGCGCTGCAACGTGCGGGAAGAGGAAAGCATCCAGGCAATGGTGCAGCAGACGCTGGATACCTTTGGACGGATTGACGTACTGATCAACAACGCCGGCATCGGCACCTACCGTCCCTTCCTGGAATCAACCGTCAAGGAGTGGGACCTGGTGCTGGACATCAACCTGCGGGCCACCTACCTGGGTTGCAGAGCCGTGGCGCCGATTATGTTGGAGCAGGGCGGTGGCAGCATCATCAATATTTCATCCCATGCCGCCGGCAACATCTTCTCTTCCACCCTGTCCTCCGATGCCGCCGAGGGTATTGCGATGATGGGGCAGGCTTATGGAGTGGCCAAGGCTGCGGTGGAACGCCTTACCTGGGGCTTGTCGGTGGAATTGGGTAAGCACAACATTGCGGTAAACGTCCTCCGCCCCTTGCGCCCTGTCATCACCGAGGGGTTCCAGGCGCAAAGGCCGGACGCCGATTACTCCACCTGGGCCACGCCGGAGGATATGGTCAAGGCCTCCGTCTTCCTGGCCGGTCAGGACGCCTATGGCCTCAGCGGGGCGAACGTAACCGCCGAAGAACTGGTTCAACGGTTAGGACTGTAAGAGGCCTTTCCTGCTAACAAGAAACGGGGAGGGATTAAATCCCTCCCCGCGCTTTTCAGTAGTGAACCGCTTCCGAAATCGGGTTCATCCAGAAGAAATTTACTTGGCTACTCTTCTTCCAGCACTGCGGCCTGTTCCTCGACGGTATCCTGATTGTTGCGCCGGCGCATGTTGCCTACCCGTTCCCGGGCGGTGCCTACAAATTCGCCGGCCCGCTCGCGCACCGGACCCGCATACTCGCTGGCCCGCTCCTTGGCTACGTCGATGTATTCTCCGGCCCGCTCGCGCACCAACTGCCTGGTCTCGCTGCCAGGTTTCGGAGCTACCAACATTCCTATTGCCGCTCCTACTACCGCGCCAAAAAGCATACCGGTTACAAATTTGTCCATTCCATTATCTGCCATCGTATTCACTCCTTCAGGGAAAGCCACCACAGGCTGTCCCGTCTTATGTTCTTGATATACATCGTTATATATTATATATCGACGGGTAAATACAGGCAATTGCCTCGAACACCGATTGGGGTTAATTTCAGGGCTTTTCCGGGCCGCCAAAATGGTAAACTCTTCCGCGATGAATCACTGCAATTAAGGCAGTGATTATTCTCTCCCCATATCCCATGAGTCGAACGGTAACTACCAACAATCCGTATTCCGTGACTGAGGCTGCCAATGGCTTACGACGAAGAACTAGCCCAACGAGTTAGAAGGTTATTGGGCCCAATTGAGAACATCAGCGAACGCAAGATGTTCGGTGGCCTGGCTTTCATGCTCAACGGCAATATGTGCTGCTGCATTGAACAGGCTAATCTGGTCGTGCGAACCGGCCCCGAAAAATACGAGGAGGCCCTGAATCGGCCCTTCGCCAGGGTTTTTGACTTTACCGGCCGTCCCATGCGGGGCTTTGTCTACGTCGAAGAGACGGGACTGGAAGAGGAAGCGGCGTTGGGGGGATGGGTTAACCTGGCATTCACCTTCGCCGCATCTTTGCCCCCCAAACAAGCGAAAGTCAGGGGCCGACGGCGACCTGCCAAAGCCTAGCGTCAGAAGAACCTCCCTCACCCAGCCCCAAGAGAAGCCTGCCCTTTACCTGGCATATCCTGGAGAGTATCCTTGGCCCTAGCTTGAGTTCGGGATAGAAGACATGACTATTTCCCATAATGTACGCCGCTCCATGGAAGAAGGGGGCTGGATACGCCGCATGTTCGAGGTGGGCATTACCCTTAAGGCCCAATACGGCGATGACAAGGTTTTTGACCTGTCCCTGGGCAATCCGGTAGTGGAGCCCCCTGAAGAGTTCAACGAGGAACTGCGGCGGCTGGCCCAGAATCCTGGAAAAGGCATGCACCGCTACATGCCCAACGCCGGTTATCCGGAAACCCGTAGCGCGGTGGCCCAGACCCTGAACGTTGAGACGGGATTGTCCTTCTCCGCCGCCGATATAGTGATGAGCTGCGGCGCCGCTGGGGCGATAAATGTTGTGCTGCGTGCCACCCTCAACCCTGGCGACGAGGTTATCATCATTTCGCCTTTCTTCGGGGAGTACGTTTATTACATCGACAACCATAACGGCGTGCCCATCATCGTACCCGCCACCGAGGAGTTTGACCTGGACCTCGCGGCCATCGAAGGTGCCATTACTCCCCGCACCCGCGGTCTGATCATCAACTCCCCAAACAATCCTTCGGGGGTTGTCTATTCGGCAGACAGGATAGGGGAACTGGCGGCACTGTTGCAGCGCAAACAGGCGGAACTGGGCACGGAAATCTACATCGTCAGCGACGAACCCTATCGCCACCTGATCTACGACGGACTCTCCTATCCGCAGGTCTTCAACCGCTACGACCGGACCATCGTGGTCAACTCCCACGCCAAGGACCTGGGCCTGCCCGGGGAGCGCATCGGCTACATTGCCGTCCACCCGGACTTCCCCAACAAGGGAGAACTGGTGGATGGGATGGTCTTCTGCACCCGAACCCTGGGGTTTGTAAACGCGCCGGCCCTGATGCAGCATGTGGTGCGGAGTCTGCAGGGGATAAGCGTGGACGTTGGCGAATACCAGCGCAAGCGGGACTTCCTATATTCCCAGCTTACGGAGTTGGGCTACTCAATGGTCAAGCCCCAGGGCGCCTTTTACCTCTTCCCCAAGTCGCCGCTGCCGGATGATGCCGAGTTTGTGGATGCTTTGCAGGAATGGAACGTGCTGGTAGTGCCAGGCAGAGGGTTTGGCACGCCGGGGCACTTCCGCATTTCCTACTGCGTCGACGACTGGGTCCTGGAAGGGGCCATTGAGGGATTTGCGCGGGCAGCAGAGCGGCTTGGGTTGTAGGGGATTTATCGGGAGACAAAGGGTTATGGAAGAAATTCAGTGGGATTTGCGCCCGGAGGGACGGGCCTGGCAAGGACCTGAAGCCATTGCCAGGTATGAATTGACTCCGGAAAAAATGGAGATGATCCGGGGGAAGTTGTTTTGGTCGGACGACGAACGTCTGACCATGCTGGCCCTTCTCCTGGAAAATGTCGGAGTTGACCAGGCGGTGCGTATCGGCAACCCTTCAGTTTGGCATACCGCCCTGGCCAAGTTGTCCGCGTCCTAATGAACCTCTTAACAAGTACCTTCCCCCTTGACGGGGGAAGGCTAGGATGGGGTGACTGCGCTCCTTTCATCCTCGAAAATCGTTAGTGCCAGTTCCTGCCCGTTCCTGGATAACCAATAGGTTGAATCAGTTTTATCTGTTGGTGTACCTACCACCCCGCCTCTTTGGACGGTAGGATGATGGTGGCGGTGCCCTTGGTGGTTACCTGCTGCCGCTGGTTCTCACCCCAGATATCCATGTCCACCAGTTTCTCGCCCGTTTTCCTCGCGCTTGCCGGTGATGGTGCCCTTGCACCAGGTGGTGTCACCCACCACGTTGAAGCGGCGCAGTTCCACATACATCTTCTTCAGGAATCCGTCGTCGCCCATCCAGTTGGTCAGCAGGTGGCCCATCCAGCAGCAGCGCTGGCAGCCGTAGTCGTAAGCCCCGGGCAGGCCGGCGCTCTCCGCCGCTTCCTGGATGTCGTGGACCCGAATTATGGCCTCCTGGGCGCCGGTGCTGGGGTCGGTGAAGCCCCAAGACGGGTGGCGCTGCATCTCTCGCAGCTGGATGCCATGGGATATGCCGCCGATGCAACCGGCCACGAAAGCGGTGATGTCCCCGTGGCTCATTGGCCCTTTGACCACCGGTTTCAGGGCATCGCCCACCTGGACATCCTCCCACCATCGGGGATTGTTACCCCGGATTTCCTCACCCAAGACCGCTTCCTGGATGGCCAGGATTTCGTCACGGGTGTACTGGTAGGGTTCAAAGGTGTACTTCTGACGCTCCTTGGCGGCGTCTCGCTCGGCGCGAACCTGCCAACCCCGCGTCTTGCCCAGAACCTCGCCCCGCTGGTTGAAGTAGTGGGAAACGCTGGACTGGATAAGAATCTTGCCGGCGAATTCGCTCTCCTTTTCTTCCAGGCCGGTGAACTGCTCCTGGACCGAAATCTTGTCGTCCATGTGAATGGGACGAAACCACTCCCAATCATTGCCGGCGTGGAAACCGTGAACCCCGGGCAAGCCGCCGGTGCGTCCTGAGCACCAGTAGACGCTGTAGAGGAAGCAGGGGGGCGCGATGATGGTCCCGAACTTGCTCTGCTGGCCGTAGCTCACGTCCCAGTAAAGGGGGTTGCTGTCGCCAATGCCCTGGCAAAAGTGTCGGATTGCGCTGCGGGAAGCCTCTTCGTTGAAAAGACCAACGCCGTACTGGCGGGGCCGGTTGTAGCTGCCCAGCCGCGTCCGCAGCCGGTCAATGCCTTCCTGGGTAATGCTGCCTGATTCTAGGACCATGGTTTTATCTCCTGGGGGAAGGGATAGTAGACTTGGGAAAACAGTAGGTTACTTACCGTAAAGGAAATATAGCCTATCCGGCGCAATTCTGAAACCATCGGGCAACGCCTGCTTCCATGCCGAAGCCCAACCAATCGCCTCAGAGCCAATTTGAGGTAGTTCAAACTCCGGACTCCGAGCAGGCAATCTGGCGGCGATACCGGACTGCCGCCACCCGCTGCTAATCCGCGGGAGGTGAAACCGGCGCTTCCTGCCTGACCTGCAAGCGGGCCGGCAACCGGGGACGCGGCAACATCAGGAAGGTCACCGCGGACAGGGCCAAAATGCCAATCAGCGGAAACAACGCCAGGTAGTAGCTGCCCGTGGCGTCAAAAATCATGCCCATCCACACGGCGGTCCACATGGAAACCAGTTGGTCGGGCAGGTGCTGCCAGCCCCGCAGGGTGGCAAAGCTGCGCCTACCGAAGAATTCCCCCATCAGGGCCCAATTCAGGGAGTTGGCGCTCTCCGACAGGGCCTGCAGGATGGCAAAGACGGCTAGTATCCACAGACTGCCGCCGGTGTTAAACAGCAGACACAGGGCAATGGCGCCGGAGGCCATGCAGAGGGCGCTAAGCCGCTTGCGGGGGAAGCGGTCGCCCAGCCAGCCTATCAGGGGATTAAAAAATATGGTCGCGAAGGCCACCAACCCCACGAGGAAGGCGGCGATTTGAAGGCTCTCTATCTGCTCCCTGCCTCCCTGCTGCAGAAACCAGACCATTACCGGGGCCAGCAGGAAAGACAGGCCCGAATGGGCGGTGTTGCGCAGGCCCGAGGCCAGCACCAGCATCCAATAGGAGGGGGTTCGCATCGCTTCCGGGGCGGTGAAGTCGTTGTCGGGAACAGCCCACTGACCACGTCTGCGCCCGCCGTTGGCAACTGCCGGGTTGCCAGGTCGTTGCGCCGCGCCTGCCTCCATTTCAGCGAGGTCTTCGGGGAGGTCTCCGTCCGGCAGCAGACCCATAGACTCCGGCGACCGCTTCACCAGGAAGGCCAGGGGCAACACTATCAGAATGATGGCTACGCCCGAAATGCGGACGGCTATCTCCCAGCCAAAGGTAAACACCATCCACCCAGCGAGGGGGGCGATGGCGCCGCCAAAGCCGTGGCCCATGGACACCAGGGACATGGCCAGCCCCCGCCGGCGCCGGAACCAGTTGTTAATGGCGGCAATGGAGGCATTGTTATAGCCTGACCGGAATCCCACCGACATCAGGCCCACGAAGACCAGCAGGAAATAGAAATAGTTGCTGGTGTAGGACAGCAGGATGAACCCGAGCCCGGACATAACCCCACCGAAGCCCAGCATAAACCCGGGGCCCAGCTTGTCGGTGAGGTAGCCCATCACGGGGCCCTGGATGCCGCCCATCAGCCTGCCCAGGGTGTCGGCCCAGCCAATGGCCGCGGCGCTGAGGCCCAGGCTGTTCTGGATGGGGATGATGTAAACGGTAAAGCCACGGTTGAAGCTTCCCTGCTTTACCCCGTCGGTAACCAGGCTGACCAGCACGATCCACCAGCCGTAGAACAGCCTGGGGAAGGGCCAGAAGGGTCGCTGTGGGGTGGACGGGTTATCCAAGGGCTATCTCAAATGCAGAATTTGCAACAAACACAAGCGGATGCCTCGCAGGGCGCAGGGAAGCGGGAAACTGCGCCGCCGACGTCGGGTTACAAAAACGGGCAAGGCGGGAAATCCAATGTCTGTCAGCCAGCATACTTTATCAGATTGAGGAGAGGGACGTAAGGGATATTGGCAGCGATGAGAAGGAGACGAGAAGGAATACGGACGGTCGCGTCTAAGGCTACCGTGCCCAGCGCGCCAACGCTTTTTCCTGCGCGGTTATCTCTTCCACCGACATGTAGTAATAGTCTCGCCAGTCCTCTTCCGGCAGCCCCGTAAACAGCATCAGGTTCAGGGGGTATTCCTCGCTGTCGGTGGCCCGCCGGAAATCGTCGCGGAAGAGGAAGGTGGGCTTGCCCAGGGCAATGGCCATGCCCAGTTCCACCATGACCCCTTCGTCGGGCGGCACCCCGTTGACAACGGCAAAAGTGGCATCGGACTCGACCACGTCCTGAAAGTCCTTCTGTCCTACCCGATATGCCCAGCCTTGTTCTGCAAAGTCCACCTGGTTATTTCGGGCGAAAGGTTCCCAGACTTCCAGGCCCAGTTCCTCCAGGGCTGCGATTAGCGGGGGTAGCAGCAACTCCCGCTGCTGGGCGGAAAAGCCATAGGGGTTGGCAAGGTAAATGGTTTTGGGCATGGTGGCAACTCCCGGGGGTTGGCGGTTAGCCGAGTATGGATGGGCGGCGTATAAAGGATACAGGATTTCCTTCACCCCCATTCTAACCTTCCCCCTTCAAGGGGAAGGGATTTCTTCGTGGTCTGCTGGCGGGGTCAGGTGGGGATGTCGCCGTAGAGGAGGTCGTAGTAGGGGTGGTCGTAGTAGGGGTGGTTTTAGGCCCAGGGAAGGAAGCCAGGCCCATTTTCTGAGGGAAGAGGTATTCTCCCCTGTTCACGACAGTTCTTGAGGCAGTAGTGAAGGTTCATGTAGGTGTCAAGGAGAATTCCGGTGGGCCCACCAGGCGGACGACCTGGTGGGGCTGGGGCAGTTCCTCCTTGTCCGCGACGGCGACGGCCCAGTCGTCGGCAATTTCCTGAGCCAACTGGCTGAGGCGGTAGACGGCGAGTTCCCTGGCGAATTTGCGTTGGAGAGAGTGGGTCTGGTTCCTTATCTGGGAGATGGTCATGATGTAACTTCCTGTTTGAATTTTGTCCACGGAGGCCACCAAGGGCCACCTAGAGGAGTCCTTCGAAGGACTCAGGATGAGCGGGCTGGCGGGGGCGGACTGGATGTTTTGAATTTGCCGGGCGGGCTGTGAGGGACTGTTCCGGTTGCGAGTCTTAGACATAGGTAATTTCCTGGCCTGAGTGGCGGGTCGGATTTGGCCCCAAGCTGGGGAGTCTGGGGGCCATGGATTATCTACGTTAGAGACGGGTTACACGGGCTGGCAAGGAGGTGGTGTCAATTGGAAATTAGGAATTGGGGGTTGGGGTTGGGATGGGTGGTTTGTCCACGAAGGGCATGAAGTTGATGCTGGTGGGGCGGGCGGGAAGAGTCAGATAGACCGTTTTAGGATGTAGGTGCAAGCATTTCCTGTCTTATGCACGTCGACACGAGCTTTATGAGGCAAGGCGGGGAATGACTCCAGCAGAATGCATTCCAAAGTGGAAGGACACGACCTTTGGAGAAAAACAGGCATCGCAGGAAATGTTTATCGGTTTGACGGTATTTGTGCAATAGAGATGGATGGGCCGATTACTAGTAGGACGACGTCACCAATTTCCAGCCACTGAAGCTGCTGGCAGTCCTCACCCTTCAGCTTAATCCCCAATCGCTCCATAAAATAGCAAGACCCTCGCT